ATTGTGAATATTACATTCTAATTTTTCATGTTTAACACACTTTTGCATTTACATTGCAGATATAATTGTATCAGTTATATTACAGATGTAAGTTCACAAACGATTACTTGTTTATCAGAGGAATGAGAAATAAATTGTTTTCATAGTATATTTGGTGATTTTGTTTTTGGATTTATAATATTTCTCACCAACATAGTGCTTTTTGGTTTCTTTGAAGTGGTTAGGGCACTTGACTCGCAATCTGAGGGTCGCGGGTTCGAATCCCTGTCACACAAAATATGCTCTCCTTTTCAGCCGTGGGGGGCATTATAATGTGACGGTCAATCCCACTATTTGTTGGTAAAAGAGTTGGCGGTGGGTGGTGATGACTAGCTGCCTTCCCTGATGTCTTACATTGCTAAATTAGGGATGGCTAGTGCAGATAGCCCTCGTGTAGCTTTGCACGAAATTCAAAATAAACAATAAAAGAAATAAAAAAATGAATTAATATCTTACAATAAGTTATTTTAAGAAGATATTTCATTTGACTGACTTTTAAAAATTACACTTTAAAATGAATACATAAAAAACAAATTAGCTTGAAAAACATGTTTTTAACCAAATCGGATCATAGTAACTAATTCTTTTACTTTGTCAGTTTATCATAATTTAAGGATGCATTAAAAAATTAAAAATCATAAGGTAACAAAGAAGAAAAATAAATATATGAGGCGTAACTTGAATAATCTATGGAAAGACCTTCTCAAACTAAACAATTTTTTTTTATTTATTGATGAATGAGTATATGTGTTTAAAAAATTGTTTTTAAATATATTTACTTGTTTATGATTAAACAGAAAATCTTAATGAGTGCGTAACTGTTTATGAACCATTAGAATAGCATTGGATATTGAATAGATACACCAAAAATTTACCATATTAGGTCTGAATCACAGAAGTTAAAAAGTGTACTAGTGCTACTTATATAACTGGTCATTCACATTCAAACATAAAGAAGGTTGTAACCTCGAGTTACCATTTAAGGACACTGCTCTCAACCTTCATTTATTAGCAGACTTACTGATTTTATACTGCTGTTAACGGGCTACATTTCAGGTCTCGTAATAAATAAATGTAGAAATTGGGTTTTTCTTTGTACGATCCATCTGTGCTATTTTTTCAGAAAGTAATCCTTCAGCATTTACTTAAACATGAACAATACTTTAAATAGAAATACACAAATATTTTGAATTAAGAGAAGTCTGTTGTCAACTGTTATCAACACCAAACAATCTATTTAAGTTAGTTTGTAAAGTGTTTTTGGTGTGTGTAATGTCTCTCAAACTTCTAAGGTTTTTACATACATGCAAGAGGCATGTTTGTGAAAATAAATTTTTAAAAGGTTAATTTTGTAAAGCATTAAATGAAAGGATAGGTTAAAGTACACAAAAGCTTTCTTAAATTTTTTTTTTTTTTTTATTGGAGGGGAAGGGTTACACTTTTGATACTCTCAGCTAAACTGATTTCCCAAAAGAATAAATTAGATAGGTTTGTTATATAACAAGAATCTCTGCAAGATACATTGTGAAGTAATATTAAGTTCCTCTAGAACTAACTGGATCTGTAGTGTGAAAAGAATGTTTATTAATAAACACAATATGAGTACTTGTGTTTAGTGCTGGATAGTCACCTCTATCCGAGTTTTCAATTTATCAGGCTGCCACCTAGTCCCTCAAGAGTTGTTCTTCAAGCTGATCAATTCCCTCGATATGATGTTTAAACCTCACGTTACATAGTTGAATCGGTAACGTCAGACTAGTGCTACACATGTGACTGATCACTCCCATTCAAACATAAAGGAAATTGTAACTTTGAGATATCACCTAACCTACCATTGCAAGAAATTCCTGTCAACCTTCATGCACAAGTTGCAACTTTACAGTTATCCTCGCCATGGATAGACAAGGTTATTTCCAAAAGAATGGCAAAAGGCAAAGTTAGCAAGAACCAAATCAACTTAAAGACTTCTAGACCATGTTTTATGTCAGAATTGAATAGTCCTAGAAATAACAAAAACTTATATGTAAAATAAGAAGGTAGAAAATGTGTGATATGAATCCATGCCAAGTAATATCACTTGATAATCTGCATGTATTTTTATGTGTTTGAACCCGAAGTACTGTGTTCCAGTAAGTAGATGCACCAGAACCCATTGATTACTTTTGTTCAGGATTTTTCTATATTTAATTCTAAATAAAATTATAGTAGGCTTATATATTATCATGTACCTTCATAATATGTTTGTTTCTATCCAAATTAATATTTAATAATATGTTTATTAACATTGAAAATGTTCTGTTTGATTATTAACTCAGACGTCTGCTTCCTAGTTTTTAATTAAGTCTGTCCGCATAAAAACTTTTTAAAAAATAATTTTTTTACCCATTATTTTAATCCAAATATACAAATCTAAAATTTTATGTGCATGTAACAGTTCCCGCGACCTTTTTTTATTCACTTGATGCAACTCATGAAAATACTTTATCCTGCAAGCTTTCTCAAACTCAACGCTTTTATATATATAGATTGTTAATGTTTTGATATTTTCAAGAAAAAACTGATTTACCAAAAGTATCAGATAGACGGATAACAGCGGATTCGATCAGGAAATAAGGAGAGTTATCTGTGTTTATTAATTTGATTGAGTTTTCCTAGTGTGTGTGAATGACAAAGTTGGTAAAAGTGAAAACAATCTATTGTTAAACAAAAAGAAAATGCAGCATACTTACTAGTGCATACACAATCACAGTGGATTCTATTTAAGTATGTCCTATTCCATGTCAGATATAAAAGACTGTTTAGTGGAGGTATTATTTATTTTGTAAGTGGATATTTCATGATTGTTAGTTTTTTCATAGCGAGAGTTAAAAGCAAGTATTTTAAAGATGATAGTTTTGACAAGTTTGGTTACGTTACTCCCTTAGAATCGTTCGTTGTGTTTATAATTCATTGATGTAGAGGCTATCAAACGTCCTGTGCAATCCATTGATGTCGAGGACATAAAGATTTCTAGAAGGCCTAAGTGATAGAGGTATAAATAGTAGCAAGTAGACGAAAAGAAAAAAAGAAGAGTAGAATAGAGTAAAGTAAAGTCACGGGGAGGAGAAGTTCGGTCAGAGAAAAGTTAAACGCAAAATTAATCGTCGTGGGAGTCAAAGGCCTAATGGTTGATATGAGATTAACAATTTCGAAAAATATAAGGTGAATAAGTTGCCTCCTTAATTGGTATTCTAAACTAATTAAATCAGCCTGAGTGGACTTTGACAAAAGGCAGACAGATATTCGAAGTACAAAGACCAGACGATTACTGGAAAAGAAGTATATGACTACGGTACCTCGCGCTACAACGTAAGTGAGTTATACACGGAATACTAGTGCGATAAAAATATAGAAAAATAGTTCGGCCTGTCAACTAAATAGGTCTTAGTGGGCTTTTGACAACAAGAAGAGAACTATGTAGTGTTTAAGATATAACTGTGATCTCCATAGTGTAGGGAAATTCTATACATACGTTTAACTTGTTCCGAATATATATATATATTATTTGAAAAACAAGTAGAGTGCGTGTTATTCGTTTATTTTTGAATTTATCGCCATCAAGTCGCAGACACTTACTGTGGAAGAATCCTAAGCCCAATAGATCAAAATATTTAACTTACTTTACTATATCGAAATTAAAAAGTAAGTTCCTTCACACTCCACAACAGTCTTTCTCTCAAGAGATAATTCTGTCGAGCTAAACATGTTGATATTACATTGAGTTAAAAAGAAGTTTCTTTTTAAAAGAATTACAGATAAAATTAAACTGAGAAAACATGCCTTAATTCAACAGGTAAGCTCAGTTACTTTGTATAGTCGACAATGTCATCTCGGCCAGCAAAGGATATTACAGTCCCAATCTTCTCAGCCTGGTTGCTCCCAATTCAAAATAATTTTTTTTCTAATAATTCTTCCTTTTTCAACAACACTCATTACATATAGAATAAACATAATCTACCACAGGAAACAAAGCAACACAATCTCAACGATTTTTTGAACCACGTGCTTATGCTAAAGTTGCATACAAACTAAATAAACGATTTTTTTAAATTCCTATTTATCTCAAGCAAGTAGAAAAGTATGATATGCTTGCACATCACAAGGTGTTGCAGGACGGCTTAAAAAAACAAGTATGCTATTTGGAAGAAGAATATTTATCAGATCTGATAAGAGTGCTGTAAGTCTTAAAACGAGCCAGAAGTTGTTTGTATAACTATAAGTGTTAGTTATCTTGGTACCATAATATTTTAAAGTGTCATTCTAACAAAACTATAGTAATTTATAAAAACAGAGATGTATGTATATATAGAATAAACTAACAAACAAAAATTAGTTTATGCTGCACCAGTATTTATTATTTTATAACGGATATAGGCGAAGGTAAAAAAAAAAAAAAGTAAGAGAGAGAGCTTAGGATCGTCAGGAATGTGTTTGAGAATGAACAAGATGGCTACCATGACTTCTTTCCGCAATAGGTTAACTCAGTTAGAAGCAAGATTAAAAGCAGAAAATGATCAGGAAGGTGAATCTAGAAATACAGCATCGAGAGCTTTAAGGACAGATGTGGCTAGTTCAAGACCAACTATACGAGGACGTAAGCCTATATTATTTTATTAACCTTAGTAGTTCATACTCATAGGTTCATTTCTGTTGTTAGCAGCATAGCCCTAAACTAATGTAATACTTTAAATAACTGAATTTGCTCGTCTTTGTATTTCGCTCTTAAGCCTAACGAAAGGCTTAACGATATAATTTGCGTAAGTTTATAATAATTAAAATTACATTTTTACGTTAGAGTCAAATTCTGTATTTTGTTTTAAATAGTGCGCACTGTAGCCTAAGACAGTGTCACAGTTGTGTCATTAATTTAAATTGCTTATCAGTATCGTAATGAATTTAGAATGTTGCCTGTGTTAGTAACAGTAACAACACTATAGCAGAAGCTTCAACTTACAGTTAGTATTACCGTTGAATCCTCTTGAATTGATTTTAAAAGTGAAATAAGTATGTCAATTTAAATTTATGTAAATTATAACTTCGTATCATTTTATTTTTTTAACCACATCTTAATTCTGATAAGATGAAATAAAGTAAACAGATATGGATTTAAATTGTACACTGTTTAGTGTAACTTGTAAGAACCATGGCCATTGACTTATTATTTATTTTGGTGATCTACATTAGTCTACAATGAGATGATTAATATTTGGTGTGAACTTGAAGGCAAAGACAAAGCATAGAAATGTTTGGTAGTGGTGTATATGACGAGCATTCTACACATGTACTCATACATTGTGATTTTTACAAATTGTTTAAAATTTAATTTTTGGCAACATAATGTCATAAGGCATGTTCTCTCACACTGTTAGCATATAGAATACTCAAATTTTATGAGAATAGCATATTAAACTTCTTAATTTTAAAAAAAAAAAGCTGGTTTCCTTTTCTCTTGGATATCACATATGATTCTGTTTTAACAAATGTCACATTATCCAGCACAAATATATACAACATAAGATGTAAAGTTATACAAAACAATGCAGTTTTCAAGGTCAACATTAAGTAAAAAAAAAAGAGAGAGAGAGAGAAAATAAGGGAATATAACTTAAACATACCTTTCCAGATATTACATCATTGGTCAAGTCATTCCACGTGTTACTTTTACTATCTGGCATTATGATGATGACAAAACCTTATCGAAACGTTGTACATTTTCTGTTCTGTTAAACTTGTATTCAAGTTTTTCTTCATTACCCATTCAAGCCATCTCTAAGTATTATCTGGCATTATACATTAGGTAGGGGAGGGGATAATGAGTCTGAATACTGGCAAAAAAAAAAATGGAGCTATGATGAACAAAAGTTTGGGAACACTGTGGTAATAAAAAAAATATATCACAGAAAAAGTCTTTACTTAGGCTTTCAAAGCCTAATCCTATTAACTTTGATATTCAAGATTAAGATTTCCACCTCTCAAATGGATAACCTAGAAGTTTGTCCAAACCCTTAAGCATTTTCAAATTAAATCAAGCTTTTGTAGTTCTGTGCTCCGGAAAAAAATCCAGAACTAGTATATTTTCATCCAAAAATGTAATGGTCAATGATTTTAAAAAAATATTTCTTTCAGTTCCAATTGGGCAAGAACATGGGTCTCCTGGAAGGTCCGGAAGGTTTCCAAGTCAAAGGTCCGGAAGGTTTCCAAGTCAAAGGTCTGCTTGTTTACCCCTCTCACTTCCACCTTGTAATTACTCACCCACATCACACGATAGGTAAGAACATATCTTTTATATGTAAGTGTACTTATAGCTTAAAAATAATGAAATCCAAATAATATTTTCAACAAAAAAAAACATAGGAATAATTGGGATTTTGGTGGGACTACCTTCCAGACATCACTGTTTCGGTAAATTATGTAAGAAAACAAAAAGATAGCTTGAAGTTTTTCCTGATTCCACAAATTAGGTAAGTATCTGTTATTTCATCTTCCTGGCAGAAGCTACATATATTGGACTATGGTAATGTTTTACTAATTGATATCGTTAGCTAACCTAAAGTACTTATTACAAGATCAGTATTGTAGTGTATAAAAACTTACCATTTCAACTTCTCTCTCTCTCTCTACATTACTGCGTTAAATATTTGTCGAAGACAAATTTTAGGTGGACTGTAATTTATTAACTTTACTAAATATAGGAATATTCTTGTGTACTACACACTCATGGCTCAAAATGAGCCATGTTTTCAAGAAAGATTGGCTCAAATGTAGGCAAACAGGAGGCATTGAGTGTTGCATCGTTAGATTTTTTTGGATATCTAACATGTAATATTTTGTTGATATTTCTTGAAAGGGGGGGGAAGAATTGAAAGATTTGAAGCCTTGTCAAATTTACCATTGTTCATAAATGAATACTAATTGATACATTTTTTGTTTCGGTCCTTCGTGTTTGATGGGCACTATCACACTCATGCTTGAAAGCACCTATAAGACAAGTTTTGTAAGAGCTTGTTAGAACTCCCCGTTAAGTCTGTAATAATGCCTATTATTTTTGACCCGCTACTTGTCCTTTTATTCTTAACCAAGAAATAAATACTTTTAAATTCAGATTCCGTAATTAATATTGTTTGTCATGGCATTCACCAAGCAGTCAGCTGTTGTTTGTGTACACAGACAAGCTCACAGATAATTTTGTGTGACCCTATTGGCTGCTATGACTCTGATACTAACAATGTTACACACGCAGTAATACAACATTTTTGAACTCTGTTGTTATATATAGACATCAAATATTTGTAACTGAAAAAATAAGTCAATTCGGTATTAATTACTAGAAAATTCAGCTTTAGCAAATTCGATCGTGACCTGACTTATATTTGATAAACGTGTATGACATGAGGCAGCAAGGGCTGCCATATTGACTGGAAGTCTTCATAACTCCGTGGCATACTGCAAATACGTCTCAATTTTACCAGCAGGACTCTATAATTCAGTCTGTACAAATAATCTTTTATTGTCCAATTTTGTAAACAAAAAATCAAGATATGCCATCAGCCCCCCATGGATTGTGTAGCAGGTGATATGTACACCCCTTAAACTTGAAGGACTGGTATATTGAGATTAATATTCTTAGTTTTACAGTGAGTATTTTATAAATACTATTGTAAGAAATTTAATTTATCAGTTTTTGCAGTACAAATCATCATATGGAATCAAAATTAAAGAAAATCTATCAGCATGCTGGAATATTAACAATTGATGGAGAGGTAAGCTGTGGTTATTCAAGTTTGTAAGTATTTAACAAATGAAATATAAACCTTTTTTTCTGATATAAAAAAGTTCTCATTTATTAATAATAGTGAACTACCATAAAAACGTTTTAAGCTGTTTTATGATACTGTTTCTGAAACTACTACTTAAAATTCAATCCAACAATTATCATTAGTTCTATGGTAGATCATTTATATAGTTTATAGGATCCAGCAAAAAAAACATACTCAAGTGTTGTTAAAAATCAAATTTATACTATTAAAAGAACTATGAAAGATAGTCATTATGATAAATTCTGAATTGTTAACTTACGTTGCATGTATCTATTAATTGTAAATAAGTTTTGTAAGTGTATAAAATTATATTAATTTTAGACATATCAATCATCCATTGATGACATGATACATATGGGAGAGTTGGGAACAGGAACTTGTGGTCATGTTGTCAAGATGGAACACAGACCCTCAAGAAAGATCATGGCTGTCAAAGTTAGCTGATCATTATTTTTTATGCGATTTTACCGATCTTTTTGTGATAAATTTTTTTTATTTTTAATACTTGTTTGGAGAAATAATCTTTTTAAAATGCATTAATAATTTTGGGACATCCTGTATTTCTTCGATATCTAGAATAGTGTTGTTGTTGTTGTAACAAAAAATATTTTTATTGTTAAGCATCTATAATATTCATCAGTGGTAAAAAAGTGAAGTTATGTACAGTTCGATATTCGTAAATTTCTTAATTGTATTTTACCTTTTTTTGCCTAGGTTGCTTTGATACTTGATCTTTTTATACTGTGATTTTTGTTGTCTCTACATGACTTGCACAATCAAAATAAGAGTTAAAACTGTCTTGACATGCATGAAATCTACCTGACTTGTATAAAAGTATAGAACTTAAGTTTATAGATATTAAATTGTACCATAGAAAGAAGTTAGTTTTTGTAGACCTTTAGATGTTGTTAATTTTATTAATATTTTCTTTCCAAGTCTTTTTATTTGAATATGTAGTTTGTCCATTAAAAAGTATTTCTTCCTCCAGCAAATGAGACGTTCGGGAAACACAGAAGAAAATAAACGGATTACTATGGATTTAGATGTGGTGTTGAGCTGTCAGGATTGCCCACACATTGTACAGTGTTTTGGCTATTTCATTACCGATTCAGATGTGTGGATTTGCATGGAGCTTATGTCCACTTGTCTAGACAAGCTCATCAAACGACTGAAGAAGCCAATTCCGGAAATGATTCTAGGGAAAATTGCTGTTGCAGTAAGCTTCTTTTTTTAACTATAAAACTGCACTAATGGTTCCCAATTTTTAAGTTTTTATACTGCTGTTTCTCAATGGGGCTTGTTCGAAAAGCTTTGAGTGTATCTTATTTTGCAGTGGTATGACAAATTTGTGGAAATCCATGCATTTCAGTTGAAAAAAAAAGATACAGGGGCATTCAAAGTTTAATCTGATGTTAGGCAAATTTCCATCTTAACTACGATGCAATATGCTACTTGCCATCCTTAAATTTTGTCGTGTAGTAATGATGTTTGAGAAGGAAAAAAAGAATCTAAAAAAATTATGCGTGTCGTGAGAGCTAGTAGAAAGATTTTCTCCATTATAGTGTGTGACACAAAGTACGTCGTTTCCTCATGTCTTTTCATTTTCACATTCCTGAAGAAGGAAATCCCACTTTTTACTTGTTCCTAATTCATGTACAAATAACAAATTTTATGAAAATTAAAACTTGCAAAACTTGTTTTTTCTCCCTCGTTCGTAATTGGATGTTATCTGACACTTCAGTGTCTGAATGAGTGCATTCAACTCATTCACTAAATCAGTTTAATTGAGACAACTGCATGTAAAAACCAAATATCTTAAATTTGTATCTTTTGTGATGTTTAATATTAAAAGGCCAGTGCTAGAGATGTTTTTAAGTATTAACTCTGGCACTGTTGTATCTTGTGCATTATATAATCTTCAATGTCCTGTACTTGGTAAACTCAAGATCCTTTCTTTCAATATCAGAGTATAAATTCTTCTCTTAAAACAACAGTTGTAACACATAAGTTCTCTGCAGTGACTAAACATGTTGGGTAGATTAACCTAAAGATGAGGTTTTTAGATGAATGAAATATACCTCTATAGAAGTGGTTCTAAAACGTTTTCGTCCACAGACCACCTACAGGTCCTTCCTTGCCTGTTTTTGCTTGCCACCATAAAACAAAACGCATCATTTACATGTATTTTGGACTGACCTGTGGACCACAATTTGAGAAGCAATACTCCATATCATCCTGAATTTATGTCAGATTAACTGCTTATGGCCAAAAAATATTAATAGCAAGGGTTCCCAAATGATGAAACGCAATGCATTCTAATCTTTATAAGTAAGAGTGTAAGAAAAGTATATTCAGTTAGTTATGTTCATTACTAGGTAATTTTTTCTTCTTCTCAAAATAAGTAGCTTACTCTGATCAGAAATGAATTAGTTACAATGATTATATTAAATAGTTTAAAAAAGAAATATAATGTTATTTATACAATTGTTTTTCATTCAAAATATAAACTAGAAATATAATCATTAAACCAGGTCAACCCTTATATAATGAAGTTAAGTTTGTTGTTTTATTTAATTCAAGTGAAATTGGTAAAGATGATACTTATAAATCATTTCGTATAAACCATTTATTTAATCTTGTTGATAAAAATTAGAATTTTATTATTACTAATGAAACCTTCCTGACAAGGCAACTGTGTTTCTAGTTAGAAAATTTTAACTGTGAGATAAGCATCATAATTTTTTAACACAAAATATATATCTTAAAAGCTTTGCATAGCATCTTTAATGGTGTTTGTGCAACTTAGGGAATCTTGTGAATTTATAAAGTGTTTGAGGCATGAGAGATTTTATTAGTGTAGATATGGCTACTATGAAATTTAGGTCAATATGCTTGAAACTAAGAAAATTAGGCTTAATATAATGTTCTGTCCGACTTGTTCTAACTTTTACATGTGCTTATTTTCTCTTCCTTAGACTGTAAATGCACTCCATTATTTGAAAGAAAAACATGGTGTTATTCATAGGGATGTTAAACCTTCTAACATTCTGCTTGACGAGAGAGGTGTGATCAAACTGTGTGATTTCGGAATTAGCGGACGGTTAGTGGATTCGAAAGCCAGAACCCGTTCTGCGGGCTGTGCTGCTTACATGGCAGTGAGTTGAACTATCAGTAATCCTGATTTATATTTTCGTATTGTTCATTCAAGGTTATTCTCGTCCATTTGGAAAGGAGACCATTTAATATTTGAGTACAGAGTTATGTCACATTTTATTGGCAGTCAGAATATGGTTTTGTGTATGTCTGTTTATTTTTTTATTTATTTTTTGAGGGGGGGGGGCAATCAACTTATGAATTAGCTTTAGAAATGCTGTTATAGGTATTTGACCTGTTAATTTTAGTCAGTTTTATGTTTTGGTTTAAAGAGTTAGAAACATGATTCAGTATTTGGTGTAAGTGATACAGTGAATTTAATTGTATATATTATAACATTAACTGTTACAGTGTAAAAGAGTTTTATTTATCAGAAAGGTAAATACTTTCAACAGTTGTTTTTTTTTATTTCAGCTTAATTGAAAATTGAATTTTAGAAGAAACCTTTATAATATTTATAAAAGAAAAGTTACATTAAGGTTTCTGAGAAAATTTGACCAGTGGTTTTTAGATTTTTAAAGTTAAAATAATTGCTCAAAACCTAAAAAAGTCCTTCAGAAATAGTATCTTGAATTATTTACAGCTTTTGTAAGCTTACTTTAAATATCTATTGTCGTTAGCAGTTGCTATGTTGCTTATTACAAGATAACGTTAAAAATAGTAACTTGTGAATATATATATATATATATGTAAAAATGTTTTTGTAGCTTGAAGAGCTCTCCATGTCGTTATGCCCTGACTGAAAAGGTTCATGGGAATGTAATGCTGATGTCATTTGTCTATCTGTCTGTAGTCTTAAGCTGTAGACATTTATTTTCTGTGTGATGCCAAGGAAGAACCTTGATGATTTTAGAGTTAAAATCAAAGGTCATGGGGACAATTTCAAAAAATATAAATTTTTGTTTATATGTACAAGAAAACATACCTCGCATAATAACAAAACACGCACACATATTTATCATTACACCATTTTACTGATGGCTATTTTTAAATATGGCTTAATGTTTAAATTGTACTCTCAGTGCCGAGATGACATTTTAATAAACAAGGGTCAAGAGATGTAGTTAATCACCCATTTACTGATGTGTCTTGAGAATATGAACTTTTGATTTTGTAGCCAGAACGAATAGACCCTCCTAATCCTAGTAGGCCAGACTATGATATTAGAGCTGATGTCTGGAGCCTTGGTATATCGTTGGTAAGATAGAGTAAATGTATTTTATATTTCTGTATTTATAATTAATGATCAAACTGACTGACCATTTTATCTTTTTTTAATGAGATTGCTAAAATTTTCTCTTGGAATTGACAGTTTTGATTGTATCAAAGTTTATTAAGAAATTTTGAATTAACTTTAGTTTTTTTAATGGTTGTTGTAATTCTAGAGATTTAAATTGGAGTAACAACTAACGCTATGCCATTTTTATAACCCAATATAGTTTAATATTTTTGCTGTTTAACTTTTCGAGAAAACGAAACATGTTGTGGAAGTTAGCATCTAGATGACCAAGATTTAAATAAATATAATATCTTCATTATTAAGAACTAATGCTTGAATAAATTAGTTGAACTGGTCTAATAGACATTGACATTGCATATTCTAAGAAATATTAATAACACCACATAATATTTTATTTGTCATACGATTCTGTGACTAGTGTTTTATTGTTTTAGGTGGAGTTAGCAACAAACAGGTTTCCGTATCAAGGATGTAACAATGACTTTGAAGTCCTTAGTAAGGTGTTACAAGAAGATCCTCCCCATCTTCCACCAGATGGAGATTTTTCCTTAGATTTTTGTAGCTTCGTTAGGGATTGGTGAGTTTTTTTTTTCTGTATTAAACAGAATTCCTGATTGTTCATATTGGACAGGTGCGCTATTAAACAAAGTAGGCTATAATTTAGCTCAGTTTTTATAACATCTTCTCATTCTTCAGGTACGATAGATTCAAACTCATTTATTCCGAATTGTTATCAATCATAAATTGAAATAGTGTTTAATTTACCGAGCCACTCATCAGATTTGTAAACTTTTGTGTGAACTAGCATGCTAAGAAAACTACCTTTATAGTGAACAACTGTTTAATAAGTCAACTTTCTGATCTAAATGATTTAACCCTATGCATCTGGGTGGAGTCAGTTTCACTTCTCGTGTAACTATACATACTATAACTCTAGATGTATCCTCGTGAACTTTGGCAAGTTTTAGTAAACATTACAAGTCTGTTATACACAAGAAATCTGACACTTTAATAAAGTTTATTTTTATTAAATATTTATCTGTGAATTTATGAAGCCTTTACTTGGTGTGACAGAAGTAACGATATCTTAGTAAAGTTAGAAGATTGGAGATTCTTAACTTTATATTTTGGCTTGTCAATATCTGTAGTACGTAGTTTCTTTAGTTGGACACGTATGAGGGTAGAGGGAAATATTAAAAGGGGCAGTTTGGATCGCAGGACGTTATGTGACACAAAGAAGGGACGAATGAGAATTTTAAGTATTTTGTTTTGAAGTTTAGAAATTAAAACTTAGATAATATAAAACTTTGAATTATAAACTATTATGTTTTGATTCCAAGCTTATTGACATACTTTGATAAGTATCATACTTCAACATAATACAAATATACATGGTAAAAAATCAACAATAACAGAGAGTTTTACTTTAAAAGATGATTTTCACTCACTTTAATTTGTTTCTCTACCCAACAAGCGAAGAAACCATTGCTAAGATACCAAACCAGAAAGTGACCAACCCACCAAATTGTTCATCTTATGGTTTCAGTCCAAATAACTCTACAACTACTTCATCACTAACGTCAGTTTACACCTAAATCCACTACATGTGTTTCTGGGTAGTTCACGATGTCATCAGTTAGTCGTACTAACTAGTAGTAATTTTTGTTTAAATTATAATTCTAGTGTAAACGATATTATCATTATCCCTTGAAATTAGTTCAGTGGATAAATACAAGTTGTACTATCCAAAGTATATCTTTTTTCTTTCTTTTCCTAGCCTAATCAAGGACTTTGAAAAAAGGCCAAAATATCGCAAACTTCTAGTAAGTACTTTTTCTTTTACCTGTATATTTTTTTTCACAGAGTGAATGTATATGTACATATCTTCATAATTATCAGTATATATTTTTCAACATTTGTATGTTTTTCATTGACTTATGTTTTCCATATGTCTGTAAACAAGCATTACCTCTTTTTTCTTTTATAAGACTGTCATGTGAGAACCTACAAGAATCTTGTTTTTGTGGGAAAGGAAAATTTTAAAGATTTACAACCCTCAATAAAACTAAATAAAAATACTATTTAGCGTGGTTTAACACTTTTGCTATGGGCCTCTTTTTCGGCACATGTCACAAGGTTTTATTGAGTTATATTCAAAATACTTTCTTATAGTATAAAAATGCAACTAATAATCCAAATTTTAATATTATTTAAGTTTTAAGTTCTTAATTTTATAAGGCAATATTTAAAAAAATTCTAAATTTCCCCACTGTGAGAAATGTGTAATTTTTTTTCTCTAGGCATCTCCTCTTTAATTAATTCACCATCATTTCAATAAGTACAAAATTTAACAAAAATTAAGCACTATAATAACGTTATTGCTCTGACAAAACCTTCACTCACTCAACTCGTACAAGTCTTTCAACCACTACAGTACTTGTAAGTATTAAATATAATCAATGTTTAGTCCCTTAATTTTCTTACATGCATGTTTTGTATAGTACATTGTAGCTAAAAAAGCCATGTTGCACCCTTTAAAAAAGTTATTCAACAGTAGACCAAAATATTTCAGGAATGCATCCCCCCATAATACATGTAAAGATTGTTTTGCTTAATGTCATTTCAGATGTATGTCCCACTTTCCAGGAAAGCATCATGACATATAACGGGGACCCCCTGTATTTAACCCTTCATTTGTGGTTTGTGTAAATCTGCCTACCACCCCATGTACAAAGATTTGCAAATTTTTAAGGTGCATAGAATTCAATTTGTTTAACATAAAATGATAGATTATCATACGTACAGACAAGATATGAAAAAAAAATCAGTTACATTTACTTGACATTGACAGCATCTAAAAGATGCATGGCGGAGAGTTAGTGCAGGGTGGAGGATACAGTGCTCGTGAGTCTTGCCACCAGTGAGGTGTTGTTGCCATACACCAACAATTTTACATTTTTCTTCTTCAATTTTCTATTGACATGTTCATGCCATTTATGTTTTCAATAGTTATATATGGTTGTTATTGATACATTGTAATAATAAATGCATTGCAAAATAAATGTAATTACAAAATAATTTTCATACAACACATTTCCATTATTTATTTACATATATGGATTTACAGTCACTTTTGCCATTATGATAGATTTCAATGGATTATATTTACTTTATAATAATGGTGAAAATTATTATGTTTTCAAATAATTAAAATATTCAAATTTGCAAAATGAATGTGTTTACAAAATAATTTTCATACAACACATTTCCATTTATTATTTACATTTTCTATGTAGATTTTCACTTACTGATATATTTCAATTGACTATATATACTTTATAATAGCAGTGAAAGAGAATTAATGTGTTCAAATAATAATAATAATACTGAAAATTGCAAAATAAATGTAATTACAAAATTTGTATACAACACATTTTCGTGTTTTTCATTTTCTATATAGATATTCAATTATTTTATTTTCTTTATATGCTATAACTATAATCAGTAATAATATTTACCAACTTACATATTTTAATTCACATTTTAGAATATCTTCAATTAATGGTAGTTTATGAAGTTCTGATCAATGCACAACCCAACACCACACTC